CAATTTCCCGTCGAATAAGGCATCAGTTAGAGTGGGCCCGTATACTCAACTCGACTGGATATACAATAAAACGTGCGAGTAGAAAGTCATACAGTGCAAGTCAGCGAATTTATTCGGTGTAAATCCCATAAGGGAATATCACCACCTCGGCATCTTGCCGGACTGCGATCGGTACCCGGCACCAGTCTTCCTTTCCTCTCACTCTCACGTCGGTGCTCTTTCACTCTCATCCGTGACTATGGACATCGAGCGCGAGTTTCCCGATGAGCTATGGTTGGAGATGTTTGCTCATCTATCTCTGGATGGACTCCGAAATGTCTCCTCGACACACCGAGCGTTATACGACATCGCGCGCCCACTTGGATTCATCCAATTCAAACTCTATCCATATCCCCATGATTTCCAACCAGCGGCTGCGCAGCTTGACGATGCTCTCCAGCGTCTGGACTTCTGGTCCTCACCGAAGACAGCGTCGTATGTGCGTGTGTGCACTGCCAGGACCAGCGGCTACAGATGGCCCGGGTCTGCGCAGGGAGGAAATCAAGGATCCCCTCACGTCCTGATGAGCACTTTTTTCGAATGCCTCCCCAGATTCATAGGATTGCAAAAAATTTACGCCGACGGGATTCATTTCACACAGACGGGCATCGCCGCCTTGTGCGAGTTACCTGCACTTACGCACGTGGAGCTCTCTGCGTGCAGCGTCGCGGCTGGGGAGAATCTCAACCGAGGTTCCTTGACTCTCCGCGTCGCCACTTTCTACACCCGCTACAATGATGACGACCTGGATTTTTGGATTTCTCTGTTGTCGCGCGATTCATTACAAGACCTCGATCTTCCTCACCTTCTCGGCATCGCCCACCCTGCGGTACTACCCTTCCCAAACGTACACACGCTGCATGTAAACTCCCTCCCCATGATGATGTTGCAAGTCCTGCCCATCTTATCCAAATTCCCTGGGGTTCGCGTCTATCATACCACCAACTATGGCGCAGTTCTGCGGAACTCACCTGTGGAGGCATTAACTCTCTTCCCGGTACTTGAAAAATACATCGGTTCCCTCGACGATTTGCATATATTCATCCGGTGGACGACCCTCACTCACATTACTCTCCAAGGAGGCTACCCATTCCAACGTTTTCAGGCCCAGCTGCAGGGAGTCACCACATTGCCCAATATCACTTCGTTGACTGCACGGGTCACCACCTCATCCCAGGACGTATTCGGTCAAACTGAAATAGATGCCCTATTCACCCTCTTCCCCCGCCTCACCGAGCTTGAGCTGACGGTCATGCCGGACGAGGAAGAAGACGTCCTTCACCCCTCAGGTACGTTCAGCCTTCGAATCGGACTCAGTCAGCTCATCGACGTTGATAACTCACGCAGTCAACATCCTTTCTGAAAATGCTCTCCGCGACCGCCACGCTGCCGGCCTCCCTGCAATCCCTCTCCCTTGATTGGGACTTCCCCTACAACTACGGGAGCACCGACTCCGCAGCAGGCAATGACCCCGCCCCGCCCGATCGCAGCGAGATTCCCGACTTCACAGTCTTGCGCGGCGACATCCGCGTCAAATGCCCGGCGTTGAAGTACCTGTTCCTAAATGGATATCACTTCCTCTTCTTGTGGAGGATATCGGATTGGGACGGAACGGAACGGGAAGCAACCGCGTACAGCTATGGTGAGTGGGATGGCCAACGACACGTTTCTGCTGACTGATACTGGGATGATAGACGGCGGGGAGGTCATACGCTGTCAAGAAGGGCTGCGAATAGATGGTCCGCCGGTGTTGATTTCATGATATAACGGAGGATGTTTTCACCTGAAACCTCAGACGGACGTACAAAATTGTCGTTTTGAATATAGTCAAATCTCAGCTGCTATCCACTTTGTAGAAGGGTTCCTTCCTAGGAAACTTGGCTGTGTTCCAGACAAAGGTCTATTACTTACAAACTAGTGAATGTCCGCTAGAACGTCTTGGTCCAACAGGCTGCGGATCTGTTCTTCTACTTGCCCGGGATCAAGCGACCCAGCGTCAGCGGCGATTCGCTTCAACGCATCGGGGATTTTCGATGTCACTCTGCGGAGGGGAATCACCGTATCCCGCTGCCCTGCCCCTTCGTACACGCGCATGATATGGAGGGATATGCGTCCGGCGCTTCTGGATTCCCTGGCCACCAGATCCGACCAATACAAGATACGCACCGGATCATGCCCAGCTTCCTCTTTGAAAACATGCACAGATACCGTTGGAGCACCAAACCGATAGTCAAACATCACGTAAAGTGGAGTGTCGGGGTCGATTGCCCACTCCTTCACGCATAGGTTGTAAATCTGCCCTCGCATGCGCCTATAGTCCAGGTGGATCTGTGCACGCATGAAGGCTGACTCCCGGGATGTGTAATCGAGACGGAAAGCTGGTTGGGATGTTGGCGCCTGTATCGATCGTTGAGAATAGTGAAACTCACTCGAGCGACGGCTCAGGTACCAGACACAAGACCGGCGATGACCGAGGTGCCACTCCGCCTTTTGGCACTCCTGAGAGCAATACAACAGCATTCGACAACCGGAGCAGCACTTCAGAGTGTCTTTTTCCAAGATGGCTCCGCACTTGAATGAAAAGTGAGTTTAGGAAGGAACACTACGGTGTGACTGACCTCCACGTTGTCACATGCTCTCTGGGATATGTACTCCTCGGAGTCAAAGATGCGCAGGAAATCTAGGCGAGATTTTGCCAGTTGCGCAAACTGCACCCACGCGCCGCGAAGATTTGGACGACAGAAATCGCCTTCTTCATCGTTCTCGGCTCCGAAATAAGCGTCGGAGAGATCCACTAGAACGTGGTAATGCAGACTAGCGGGAATGAGGATTGTGGTGAGGAGTTTATGGAGGGTGTTCTGCAGAAGGTTTGCGTCAGGGACATCTTTCCCAAGATGTTGTGAATATGCCAGGATCACGGGTACTAAGCCATTCCGTATCGCGACTCGGAGAAGACTGCATCCACGCGAAAATTTAAGAATGTTGGCCAGGATGGCCAAGCCCTTGCTCACAATCCCGTGCTGAGGCTGGGGTTTCGCTTGGCTGATATTCCTGGCATTGATGGTTAGAGTTTTCACCAATGAAGGCGACCCCAGTGCGAGGCATAGACGACTGACACGCAGGTCTGTACCGACAGCCAATGGGGTTTCTGGACCAAGACTGCCAAGGCCGTCGGGGACGAGCACTATGTCAAGCACCATCTCGAGGAGCCAGGCGTCATCCGAAGACAGTGGCTCGTCTTCACCCGTGGCGACCAGGTCAACATGCATCATCACCAGCCGAGCCAGATCGTCTATGCATCCCCCAGCACCTTCGATTCTCTCTTCCAGGAGCACGGAGTAACGGGTGAGCAACTGATGCACGATGAAAAGCCCCGCTGTCGGTAGATTGCGAGCGAAATCCTCCCGTTGAATGAGACTGGCCCAGGCGCGCACGACAAAAACTTGAAATCCGGGCGTGGCTTCGACCAGTACCCGATTCGAGGCGAATTCGCACAAGCGGTAGGTGAAAGTAACCAGGCCAAGACTGAGATTTTCCTCCGACGGCATGGGGATCTCTCTGGCCAGGAATTCGCGAAACGTCCACAGAAAGTCCACCCATTTCCAGAGACGTGGCCAAAAGTCTACGCCGACCTCGGGAGGTATGTCTAGGCCCACTATGGTCCCGACAGCCACAGATGCAGCGTAGACAGTTGAGAGTAACTCCAAAGAATAGTCATCTAGTTGGCCAGCCGTCGGGATACGAGCTGGGTCCAGGAGATGGTGATGAACGGGCAAAAAGTGGACAAGTTGCTGTGGATTGGCGATGAAGATAGTGGCGAAGCGGTCGACGGTAGTTCCAGATGGATGAGGTGCGCAAACGGCGGTTGTTATCCGCTGGTAGCGGGCGCGGTGAGTGAGCCATGGCCATGGGTGAGGATTGAGTGATGGGAACGCACCCTAGAGGATATGGGGAGCTTCTCGAGGTTACGGAGGCGCAACGCTGGATGCATGCTCGCAGGATGGTGGCTAAAGACAAAAAGATTTGGACTGCATCCGCCCAGATCCGCTGGTTGCCGAGATCAGGCCGGATAGTTCCGATTAGGAAGTGAACGTTCAACGTTCTGCAGAATTTTGAGGCCATGGCAATCGAAGACATGAACTTCAAGTACAGTAAGACACAAGTACCCGAGAGCTTTTTTAACGTACTAGGGAAGAAGAAAAGATGGCGACATTCTGAGAGGCGTTGGTTGGACATTCTGACATTCTTGAGAGATTCGCTTGCGTCGAATGCTGTATACCAGCTTTTAGAGGGGTCATTGTAAAGATTTCTGAGGTCGAAGAAATGTCACTGAAGAAGAGCACATCTCTCACCTATAGCTACTCACCCAGAGCACCGGCGGGGAGGCGAACGCTGTCCAACATGTATAACTTATACGGTGAGCATACGGTATGCGACCGGCGCGGGATTCCCTTGTATTCGATTCAGCTGAGGACGGGTATGGGTCATGGGGTATCCAGGATTCGAGGCAGGGAGAGAGAGAAAGTAGCTACTGTACTCTTAATCATATATTACTGGTAACAGTCGAACCATGCCATGACCCTTACCGATGATAATAGAGGAGATCCTGGAAAGAATCTGTAGGTGGGTTTTCCTTGAGCGAAAGAGCCATCGGCGCGGAACAAAAAAGCATTCGAGAGACACCCAGAGCACCAGCGGGGAGTCGAACCCCGTCTCACCGATATAGCTGCCGGTCAAGATCTTGATCGTATTGGTGTGTGCGCCGTGCACAACCGGTGCTTCTGGATTCCGGCTACAAGTTCAGTACATGCGACACGATCATCCGATAAGTTGACGGCGTACATTCGCAAGGCAAAAGACCCTTGACACATTGGGTTGCGTCGACTGATGCTGCCCAGCAACCACTGCAGAGAATCTGAGCATGAATATTCAAGAGAAAAAAAGAAAGGACGCTGAACGAACGCACCGGCGGGGAGTCGAACCCCAGCTCACCGATACTTTGAATTGCAACTGTTTCATTGGATCGGTGTATGCGCCGTGCACGACCAATGCTTCCTGGCGTTCTCAAAGCTAACACGACACGATGAGTCTGCGAAGACAATTGCAAGGTCACACGGGGAAAAGAACCCGGACAGTGACATGTTCGGTTGCGCTTGAGGTGCTTTCGATGGATAATGATGTAGAAGCGCTGAACTTCAATCTGGGAGTGCAAAAGAAAGTCTAGGACCAGTCAACGCACCGGCGGGAGTCGAACCCCGTTCCACCGTTATCTTGATATAACCTAGGTACCTGGGGCCTGAATTTGGGCGGTGTGCATACCGCATGCGACCGATGCTTTGTGAGTAGGGATTGGATGTTGACGAGGACGATAGGGTTTTACGTCCGTGTCGATGAGCGATTGGTATCAAGCGTGGATTTGAGTATGGAAGGAGCCGGAGTTCAGCCGAGTACTCGGGACGCCGAGATCTCAAAGTCGTGAGCGGAATCTGGGATGATGTGATATGGTACGGATACGGACTGGGAAGAAGGAATAAAAACCGATTATCCCCAATCAGCGAATGCACCGGCGGGGAGTCGAACCCCATCTCACCGATATTCAATGATTCTGCCTTGGTTTTCCCCTCATTGGATTGGTGTGTGCGCCGTGCACGACCGTTGCTTCTAGGTTCTGGTTTCAAGGTCAGTATGAGACAATCGTTCGAGCTCGAGTCTGCGACGCACATCCATGGGCAAGGCCACCCAAGGGAAACAGAGCCATCGACACATTCGGCTGCGTCGACCTGATGGGAATTATTCCGAGGTATCACTGAAGCTGACCTTGAATATCCGAATGTAAGGCAAAAACATCCCCGGAATGGAATCAGTGCGCCGGTGGGGAGTCGAACCCCGTTCCACCCTTATTCTCCTTTCGGACCACGGATTTGAACGGTGGGCATACCGCATGCGAGTAGGAATTGGATGTTCGAGAAGGGGACACGGTTTAACGCCGTGTTGCCAGAGGATCCTAGGAGTGTTGAGGTATGGAGGCAGAATTTGAGGACGGAGTTCAAAGCCGACCGTGCGGGTCTTGGGCTTAAAGGACGGAGGCAATGGACGCAAGATAGCCAGCCTTGAAAGCACCGAATTCGGAACAAGTACGGTGGGAATCCGAGCAGACTTGGGTCCCGATGAGCTTGTAATGTCCCAATCTTTCACCCCGGACATAACTCTTCGAGAATTGTGGAGTCCGAGACGAGGATGTATCATGTGAGTGTTTGTAGAGCTATCTGTGGACAGAAAAGAAGAACGTGAGCGCCGCAAGCCGAGAAAAAGAAGAACGCAAGGTCGATCTAGAGCACCGGCGGGGAGTCGAACCCCGTTCCATGGTTAATAATGCACATTGTGAGGGGCGCGCGCGCCGTGCGCGACCGGTGCTTCCTGGCTGCTTTCTCAGGTTGAGTATCACACGATCGATCGAGCTGAAGCCTTTCATGGGCAAGGCCATAGAAGGGAAAGGGAGCTATCGACACATTCCACTGCGTTGACTCCTGATGGCGAATATTGAGAGAGATCACTGCAGCGAAGGTGAGCTCGAATACCCAAAAGGTGAGGCAAAAACATCAAAGCATTATGGGATCAGTGCGCCGGTGAGGAGTCGAACCCCGTTCCACCGTTATTAGCTCGCTGTATGGGAATTTGAACGGTGGGCATACCACATGTGACCGGTGCTTTGTGACTAGGAATCGGACGTTGGTGAGGACGATACGGTTGTACGTCCGTGTTGGTGAGTGATTGATGTATTGAGGGCGAATTTGAGTACGATACGGACTTGTTAAAAGAAGACGTTAACTCCATCAATAACATGCACTGGCGAGGAGTCGAACCCCATGTCACCGATAATAATTCCTGGCTTCACATTGGATCGGTGTGTGCGCCGTGCACGACCAGTGCTTTTTGCTTCTGCATTCACCGTCAACACGACAGCATCATTCGAGGAGTCTGCGACGCACACACATTTGCAATTACAAGGCCACAGAAGGCAAGAGAAATGGAGCTATCAACACATTCTGCTGGTTAAAATCATGCTAGAAAGTATTGCGAGGGAACACCACAGAGGAATATTTAGCGGCAAAAAGAGAAGGCCAAAAAAGCCAAGACACGAGTAGCAGTGCGCCGGTGGGGATTCGAACCCCGGTCCACCATTATTTTTAAACGCTGAATAATTCGGACGATGGGCATACCGTGTGCGACCGGTGCATTGTGGCTAGGAATTGGATGTTGGTGAGGATGATAAGTTTTTATATCTGTCTTGGTGAGTGATTGAAGTATTGGGGTCGATCGATTCCACCCGGTCGAATTTTGGGTCTGGATTCTGGTCCCTGGATGGGGACGCGATCCAGGGGGAAAGCCTTGAAGGGCTTGGTATTGGGGAACGGAGACGACAGAGGCGTAGAAAGGCGGCACATGCAGTCACAAGGGCCCACACAATGGCAACTGGAAGCACGGAGTCCTAAACGATCCCACAGAAAAAAACAAAGAAATTACAGCGAAGGAAGCAGGCTCGGGGATCGCTTCAGAAAACCAGCAAAGTGGGGAGGAGGGAGTTATCAGAGTAAAGCAAGCCGAGTTGCAGTAGTTCGCATGTGACGGACATGGTGGCAGGGAAGGAGCGTGTGTGGCTCTGTGTGGCTGGACCTTTGGGTGTCACACTGAATCACATCACGTCGTCCAAGTTGGCTCTTGATGCGCTCGCTGCCTGTGCGCTGTCTCCCCCATTCCCCTCCCCCTCCTCCCTCAGCACCATGCCCACATTCAAGGTCGTAGTAATCGGCGCCTCGGGCGTCGGAAAGACCAGTCTCCGTGGCCAAGTGCGTCTCCTATTCATCTTGGGTAAATTCACCCTAATAATCTCACGATTCCAGTACATCTCCTCCCGCTTCTCCTCCTCCTACCGCGCCACCATCGGCGCCGACTTCATCACCAAGACCCTCCCCCCCGCTCACACCCGGTGGTGAGGCGGTAGTGCTGCAGATCTGGGACACAGCGGGCCAAGAACGCTTCTTCTCGCTTGCCTCTGCATTTTTTCGGGTCGCGGACGCGGCGGTGCTGATGTACGACGTGACGGCGCCGGAGACGCTCCATGCGCTGCGCCCCTGGTGGGCCGAGTTCCGCGACAAGGCGCCCGTGGCGGACGAGGACGTGGGCCGCTTCTGTGTCGTTGTCGTGGGGAATAAGGTTGATCTGCTGGTGGGAATGGGCGAGGAGGAGGATGTGGTGAGTCCGGCGCAGGGTGCCAGGTTCGTAAGGCAGCTTGTGCCGCGCCCGGATACGCTGCCCCTCACTTATCTTCGAATGCGGATGAAGATGCAGCGCAGACGACGCACTTGCGTGCTTGGAACCCACCGGCCGGCCCACCTTCCGCCATCTCCATCCCTCTTCACGCTCACGTCGCGCACAGCAAGACGGGTCTGGATCTCTTTCTATCACCCGTACTGGCACTTATCGTATTCCCTGATCCAACGTTCTCTTATCTCTCCAGTTGTCGTGCCCATTCCCCTTCTGCCTCCCGTCCTCCCTATTCCTCTCCCTCGCGCAGCAACCCAGACCCGAACTCAAGTTCCGGAAGACGGCGTCGCAAAAGGACGAAGATTCAAGCCTCAAGGTTAAGTAATCAACGCTCCCCTTAGGCTTCGCCAGCAACATTGAAGCTCCGTTTCTCTGTCTCTCGCTCTCAAGACCTCGCTCCTTTTTACCAACAGAATCGGCCCAATATTTCCCAACGTTACAACATATAATTCCCACGCCTTCGCCGCTGTGCTCCCCTCGTACCTACTGATATCACACAAGCCTTCAAGTGCAAGACCGTCAAGAGGTTTTTTTCCCAGACAATTCGACTCGGAGCCTCCGAGCGCTGGACTCGCGAGCGGCTGGATATCCTCATCGATACAGCAACGTCTACTCTACCGGCCAACGTCTACTAGTCTGCTCTCTCCGAAATCCCTTTGATTCTCCAGGGCTCAAAGCCGTCGTTCTTCAAAGCCATGCATCTCTCAGCCTCATTCGGTGCGAAGGTCCTTCAGCACGAGGGGATGCCACGGTCTTCTTATATAACTGCACATCGTTATACTCCACGGTTGCGAAATAGTGGTATCATCTTCACCTCATTCTATCGGTGTGCCTCTTTCGAATAATGCGGCGAAGCCACCACTTTTTCGACAAGCACGGATTCCCAGGCGAAAGGACCAGAGAGCATTCTTGCTCAGGTAAACAAAAAGTTGGGGAAAAAGCTCCTAGGGAGCGCTCTATGCACCGGCGAGGAGTCGAACCCCGCTCCGCTGTAGCATTCAGTGATTGTCTCGGAATATTGTACCCGCGGGTGTGCCGCACACTACCGGTGCTGTAATCTTGCAATGTCCCAATCTTTGTCGGCGGGACCGAATTCTTCCATATGGGCGATATACTGTGCAAAAATTAGCGAAAAGTTGCAGGGTTTTGGGTCGCAGCTTACAACAACATTCCGAATATTGGGTGACATCTCCCATGGTAGCTTACATCTTGCATTTGGGTTACATCTCGTTGCAGTCGGGTTGCATCTGATCTCCCATCAACATTGTCATTATTTGGAGTCTGATCGTCATCAGCTCGGGTATCGGCTTAACGATAAAGGCTTTATTTCAAGGCGGGCAGGGAAATGGGATGTTCCGGATGGTGAATATCAGGTCATTCTACCATTCAGGAGTATGTGGGCACCCTGAGCTCAAAATAGTCTGAATGTTTTGGTCAGATCGGTGTTTTCAACCTCCTCTTTGTCGATGGCCAATGTAAAGATACCGCAGCATCCATTTCCATGAAACATAATTTTAAGAGATGAATAACAGTATTTACCACCCAACTGACTCTGTTTCAAGCATCGCTTGGTGTTTTGACAAGGCAAACTGAGTCCGCTTCCTTTTATAGATCTCGGCATGCTGATCGTATCATTGTTCCGATCAACGACGTTGCGATATCAAGTGAATTTGCAAGCCCAACTTCAACCAAGTCTTTTAGAAGCAAGCCAACATAGATGTAGCTGC